TACAACTGCTGGAACATCTCCTTTCCACTGCACAGAATCCCAATTAATACATCCAGATGTAGTATAATTAGGCGTCGCGCAAGATGATTGGTGGAGAAACCCAAACTCCGCTCCCACTTTCCCCCGCATTCGCATTCGCATTCGCATTCAGCCGTCGACCTACGTAGGATTCTCTTGTCGCGCATTGGGTGGAACCTCCGCGACGAGTTCTTCCATCGATGGCGCCTCAAATGCCGTCCTTTCTGATCGTCGCGGCTGCGTTATTGGATTGACTTAGCGTCCCTTTAGTCGACTTGTCCCCAAGTTACCCCATATATTCGAGCTAGCCTCGATCGGCCCGCTCCCTTTTTCCTAATTGCGTTGGAAAAATATCCCATGCTTTAATATACTACCTGCCTATTACATTACCCGGGTCCTGGCCGTCGAGAAGCGAATTGCTTGGTCCTTGCGCTCATTCAACCCTCCCCGACTCTTATTTCTACCCGTCTTAACCCATGCTTCGACCTGCACAAATATCCTCGCCAGCACCAAGTATGAAACCCATTGAGACTGCCGTGCCATGATTCCGACAGCCTTTCCGCAGCACATGGCCACGCCGCTGCTCGACGATCCCCCTATCTCTGCCGCCCTAAAAGCCCAGGCTCCTCCTAGCGCAAACCCCAATATCGCCGTCCCTTTTAATGCTGCGACAATCGTCCCTCCCGCTACTATGGCCACCGAGCCCGAAGACCAGACAGTCGCGAGCATTGCTGCGCCGGCCGCCGCTACTGCCGTGAGGACTGTCGTGATCATCTACGGCCAGAATCAAGAGCATATTGTACAACTGGTTGCGGAAATTCTGGGCAAGCCATGGACAACAGATGAGTCGCTTGGGATGCTTGCGCGAGCCAGCAATGCATTGGTAGTGGGAATCTTAGCGCACGATCTAGCGCGAAGCTTACAAGGATGCGAGCGATCATCTCTGGTCCTGGTAAACACGTACTGCGTGGAAGACGGGTCTGCGCCGGAAGACGCGCTCACCGAGAGCTGTGACTATGAGTTCTTATATTCGCGGAGTCCGTTCCTGCGCCGGGACCTGGCGCGATTTTTGTCTTTGATCCTTGGCCAGACGAGGCCGCATGATGATTTGCGGACCAAGACTAGGACGAATTTTATCTCGACTACTTTTCCGGATGTGCATGCTGCTTTGCCGAATTTGGATATCCTGTCTGTGGGGTCGGATGCTGTTGAGATCCGTGTGGATTTGCTGGTTGAACCTGTGCCGGAGGGCTCGACCGCTCCGCTAGTTCCAAGTTTGAAGTATGTTGGTCAGCAGTTGATGCTTTTGCGGCAGCATACCGAGTTACCGATTATCTTTACTGTTCGTTGTACGAGGGAGAATGGAAAGTTCCCGGTAGATGACCCTGCGCTCTGTTACAGATACCTGCGGCGCGCGATACAATGGGGAGTTGAGTATATCGATGTGGAAGTGTGGCTACCGGAGGATATACGGCGCCAGCTGTTCGAAGCAAAGGGCCATAGTATGATTTTATCTGCGTTCCATGACATGTCCGGGACCTGGAAATGGACATCCGAAGAGGCACAGCGCATATTTACGGAAAGCGCCAAATACGCCGACATCGTGAAGATGATCGCCATGGTCCACACAATCGAGGAGAACTATGAACTAGAATACTTCCGCTCCACCATCAAAAGCCGAGGCTCAGGGCCACCTCTGTCAGCAGTCAACATGGGCCAAATGGGTCAGCTATCTCGAGCTCTCAACACCGTCTTCTCTCCAATCACCCACCCCCTCCTCCCAATGATCGCCGCCCCGGGCCAACTAACGGCAGCGGAGATCAACGAGGCCTTACACATCATGGGCCAACTCCCCAAACGCGAGCTCTACGCCATCGGCTCATTCCGCTCAACGCCACATTCAATGTTCATGGAGAAATGTATAAACGAGCTCGGCCTCCCGCACAACTTCACCTCAGTCGACCTAGGCCCAAAGGGCTCCATGGAATCCGTCCTCCTACAACCGCACTTCGGCGGCGCCTACGTCAACCCCCCCGTCCCAACCACAACTAGTTTCATCCCTGCAGTCAGCGACGCAGCCCGCGCAATTGGATTAGTCGACACAATCGCTATGACACCCGACGAGACTGCTGTAGGAACGTGCCGATTAATTGGCGAAAACGCCGCCTGGAAAGGCATCCGCGCTACCCTGACGCGCGAATACGTGCCGTCCGCTTACAGCGGCCGGGCGGCGATAATCCTCGCCAGCTCACAAGCAGACGCTTCAGCGGCGATTTTCGCGCTACGCAGTCTGGCCGTTGGCGCAATCTACACAGTCGGGTTTAAAGCGAGTGGCCCGCTCGCGGCGGGTCTGGAGCCGTTCACGTCCATCCAGTCCGTGAAACGGGTCGAGCAGCCCTTTGTTATTGTCTCTGCGCTGCCGCCGGAGAAATCGCTGCTCGTGCAGCCTTTGCTGAGACATTATGGTGTTAATGGTCGTTCGTCGCCGCCTTCTACTCGTGGGAAGGTTTATCTTGATCTTACGAGTGGGACAAGAAAGGGGGATCCTTTGGCTGTTGCTACTAGTGCTGGATGGACGGCGTATGGAGTTGAAGATGTTAGTGCTTGGACTACCGTTGAGACGCTTAGGTTGCTTGTTGGGCAAAATGTGCCGTTTGACTTCGTGCGCATGGCGTCTGGGAGACCTCTGTTCTAGTCATATATATTATACCGCATACCTACGTAGGTGATTTGTAGTTCTGTTTCATTGTTTGTTGATGCCATGACTGCTAACGACCAGACATATATATAGATGCTGAAAGATAAGAACTTATCAGAAAATCCGGGGTCGACCCCTCAACCCCTCATTTCCTCCTTCCAAGGTTACCCCAAGCTTTGGTTCTCTCTACCTCTATGCATATTTCCTTCTAGATTCATCGAAACAAACAGAAAATGCATCTGCGTCCTGATCATGCAGTCCGAGACCTCCCAACCCTCCACGCCTTTATCGAACAACACCCACTTGGCGTCCTCACCACTTCGCTCCCTTCAGAGAATCATCCCACACTCCAATGCAGCCACATCCCCTGGGTGTTGGACAGTGAAGCAGCCCTCGAACCCGAGTTACCGAAGGAAACAACCCTCGAATCTGAGTTAGCAAAGGAAGCAAGAGTACCCGATGGCAGCACTTCCGCACCGCCATATCCCTCCCTGGGAGTTCTCCGCGGCCACATCGCGCGCCAAAACCCGCAAAGCAAAGCGATGGTAAAATCTGCCTTGGAATATAGCACCAAAACAACCAGTATCCCCGGCGCATTTCCTATAACCAATTATGCAGAAGAACCACCGACATCAACTAGCTACACTCTCCCTGATGAGGTCTTAGTCGTCTTTACCAGCCCAGTAGACCACTACATCACGCCGAACTTCTACACAGAGTCCAAACCCGCCACGGGCAGGGTCGCTCCGACGTGGAATTACGCCGCGGTGCAAGTCTACGGGCGGGCGACTATTTATCACGATGCAGAAGACGAACAAACAGAGCTGTTCCTACGACAACAGCTGGGTGATTTAGCCCGGCTTGGAGAGGAAGGGGTAATGGGGTTTCAGGATGAGTCTGGGTTTGGTTCGGGTTCGGGTTCGGGACCTGATGTCAAACACGGAGGTGGTGAAACCGAAACTGGGAATGGGGATGAGGAGGGGGACCCACCCCAGGACCAGAACCAAAACCAAAACCAGGGACAGCGCCAAAACCTGATCCCTGATATGCAGCTGAATCAGGGGTCGAAGACGGCCACCGGGGCTGGCGGGCATGGCGACATCATGCCATTGCCGAGGTCGACGTCAGCACCTTGGAAAATCGCCGATGCGCCACTGGACTACATTGCTGCGCTTTTGAAGAATATTGTCGGCATGAGGATTGAAATCACCCGGATTGAGGGTCGGTTTAAGGTTAGCCAGGAACGGCCGCTTAATGATCGTGGGGGTGTTGTTCATGGGTTAGAGAGCATGGGTGGGAGAGCAAAGGATATGGCGGACTTTGTGAGGAGAGGGAAGGTCTTGCCTGGGCAATGATGGCATTAAGCTTTTTGTGTGTATAGATCCTAGGCCCTTCGAGCACGAAGTATCCGCAGTACGTAGACTAATAGTGCCAAGCTCGCGACCACGTACGGAGTGCAGCCCCTACTCCGTAGTGTTGGCGGCCCGGGCTTGGCATGATTACTCAACATAAAATGGTCTGTGTAGAAGCGCAAACTCCTCGGAAAGTTAAAAAAAGACCAGGATGGAGATTCCGTCTCGAATACAGTAGCTGCAGTGGATGATCAGGGATCGGACGCGTCTTAATCAGAAGGTGTAATAAGCGGGGGCCAATAGTAGTCCTGTAACAGCCACCTTCATAGACCGTACCTTTTGCACATACCTCGAATAGTTCTGCAGGAAACACGGGTAAAATGAAGGGTCTTAGGGGTCTAGATGGCAACTGAGAACCCCCGTGGTGGGATGGTGGACAGACGATAGCTATTGACTGGCTAGATACAATCAAGCTACTGCAATTACGTGCAATTATGGGGTATCTGGATCATCTCGGATGCTGGCGGCGAAGCCCTAAAGCGGGTGGCATTCCATAAAGGGGAACCATCCCCCGTCTATACAGATTAAAGGGGACTGAAACCAGTTCTGGGTTGAATGGGATGTTAGAAGTAGAGTGAGTCGAGAATAAGAACGAACATAACAGCTACATATCTTCATTGTACATATATATCATCTTCTAGCCTAAACTATGGAATAAATACAAAAATCTCCTCTCCCCCCCCATGTCAGCCCGAACTGGGGAATTCCGGCGGCACATCACTTCTCCGCATTTCTTCCTCTCCGCAACCTGATCATGGTATAGGATTTCCCTTTTTTCCTAAACGCCACAGCCATGCGCCTGACCTCTTGTCCATCTTGGCCGCGGCCGTCTTCTTTCTTCTTTTCTTATCTCTCTTCCATGTAGAAGTGCCATGTCTCGTCCTCAGGTCAGCATCGACCGTCTCACGCCCCGCCGTGCGACGGTTGAGCCGCGCGAAACCATGAATTGCAAATCCTGTCGCAAGCGCAAGGTACGTCTACTCAGTGCTAGTGCGATTGGCTCTGTCTAACTTGTTATAGATCAAATGTAATCGTATGCGACCGAGCTGCGAGGCATGTAAGGTCTTCCAGTGCCCATGTCTTTATGGTGAGTCAATCATGTCCCCTCTATATCAAACGACTCCTCTGTTAACCTTGTTATGTTCAAGATGCCGTTCCCAAAAAACGGGGCCCCAAAACAGATGTGCTAGAAGCTCTTCTCAAGCGGGTCGATGGGTTGGAGAAACGCCTCCACGACGAAAAGAACCCCATCTCGCCCACTTCTCCCGATACCGCAGATGATCAGCCGAGCTTTCCTGCCCGTCGCAACACCGTCGACGCTTCTTTTAATATTTACTCTTCGAGCGATCGATCGGCTCTGCCAACTTCTCTCCCCCAACATGTGGATCCCTTCATTAGGCCAACCGGCCACCCAGCAGGTCTTCTGCAACAGCCCTCTCCGACAAACAATGGTCCACTATCGGATGCGACCCTGGATCTTTACTTCGAGCGACTGCACGGCAAGCCATTTTATATATTAGACGAGGCAACAACGCGGCAGCTCCATCAACTGAACCAATTACCTCCGTGTTTGGCCATGGCCATCTCAGCAATGACAGTAAGGTAAAACCACCAAGCTTCCAAGCGCTGTCACATAGCTTACATGTTTGACTGACGAATCTTAGATATACAACCTCGCCTGGTCAAGTGGAACAGTCACTACGTTCCGGGCTCGATGCGGCGCTACAAGCAAGACGTATGATTGAAGTCGACGATCCTACAGTAGAAGGACTACAGACTCTATTGTTACTTTCGCAAGCTTTCCACGCCTATGGTCTTGGAAAGAAAGCTTATATGACATTTTGTATGCTTGGCCTCGATCCTCCATGGTGGAATGAATTTGACTAATGATGCTAGCAAATTGTGTTGCCATGATCGTCGCGCTGGATTTGTATCGGGAGGCTCCCTCCAAGCCCAATATTTCGCCTGCCGAGCGAGAAATGAGGCGTCGGCTATTCTGGTCTGTTTACTTGATGGACAGATTCATTAGCTGTGGATCGCGACGTCCATGTCTAATCACCGATCATTCGGTTGTTCTGCGCCTACCGTCTTGGGCACCACATGCAGCCGGTCTGAACATGGAGGGAGAGCTCTTCCATGTCGGTCCGAACATTCAATATTCTTCTGATTCCCGGCGCAAATCACCAAGTGCTGCCTCTTTGCTGATTGATATCACGCGTATTCTTGGTGTCACGAATAAGTATCTGGCAGCTGGCGGAGTGAAAGGCGACTCTCACTTCCCATGGCATGCGCTTTCTAATCTATCTAAGATCCGACAAGAATTAGATATATGGGCCGCTGGTACGCAGGACGTCTTTGCGTCTATCGACTCATTGTTCGGCCACCCTGAGAGTACAACACTTTTGCTGAGCAAGTTGATCTACCATTTGGTGCACTGTTTGATCTATCGCCCGTTCTTACCCATTGACCTGGTAGAGCTCCGGGGTACAGGGCAGCATCAGTCCTGGCAAATTGAGGCCACGAACTTGTGTTTTTCGCACTCCAATGCCATCGCAGAGCTCGTTGAACTGGGTCGCAACTCCCCGCTAATCGAGTGGCCTGCTTTCGTCGCATACTGTGTGTTCACAGCAGGGACCGTGCATGTTCACGGTGTGCACTACAAGGGCCGCGAAGGAGAGGTTTTCTCTTCTAGCGCTGAATTCCTGACTCGGGAGATGCACCAGCTTGCTTGGCTGCGTAATATTTGGACTGGCGTCCAGCATCAGCGTGAGCTGCTCCAGACTATCTATACGTGTCACTCCGAATTAGTACGCAATCTTGCCAGTAGCCCAATGCGGTTTTCGCCAGTCTTCCACCTCGAACACTTCCTCGACCGATATCCTGGTCTGGCGTTAGATGGATCACATGTTCGGCTTATAGATGCAGGGGATGATCTAGCTCCAAGGTAGGTCCTGCTGGTTCGTTTTTTGCATACATATTATATGATCCTAACTCCGAAGACAGTGCTGCGAGCTTCATTGATCACCAGGATCACTACTACCAACGACCAATCGCCACACCCTCATATCACAATCCTTCACCCTACTTCTCAAATACCCGGCCTGGGCCCTCGAGTCCGTTACCATCCAGCCAGGCCTCAGATATCGACCGTCGCAACTCCCATTCCCATTCTCTATCTCAGAAGCCATCCCACCCAACTTCTCTCTCGCCCAGTATTCAATTCCACACGATCCAAGGCAATCAACAGCAACAATCATCATCTGTCTTCTCCCTCCCAGCCGGAACAGACCTATCCGGTCCCGGCACATCAGAGAACACCCACCTCTCGATCCCGGGATTCTCCCCCTCGTCCTTTGGACTCTCCCCACCAGCCTACCTCACCGACGCTTCCATGCACATAGCACCAACACCCCCAAACCCGCAATACGCAACCTTCCCATTCGACACCACTCACGCAAATCCGAACGGAATGACGCAAGCAGGTCCCACCGCCCTGACCCCAGGCGGCCAGTCCCACACTAGTGGCACTCACACCACAGCCGGCAGCGAAAACACATCTGAAAAAGACCCTTTTCTGCGCTTGCTAGAACAGCTGGCTGAGAATGAGAACTCGCAGGGCGGGCCTAGTGAGCTTGAGTTCTTTCTGACAGGTACCGGTGCCGAAGGTGATACAGCTATTCCTCTTGAGAAAGATAGTGCTTCGTAGTAGGCGGAAATTGGTTTGGGAATGATAATTCCCTCATATATATTCTCATTCTGTGTATATCCTTCGTTGCATAGCTTGTTTGCATGTAGGCTATGGCCGAGTTGACTGATACCCATTGTGTTTATTGTTTCTAGCTACCTAGTTACTATGTGAGATCTGAGTCAATCTATCATATAACCTTGGAATGCTCCTATTAGAGCTAGACAGAATCTCATTACTAATTTTCATTGTTCACCCGGCATCTGTGCTCTTCGCCCGGAGTTACCCCGGTCTCGGCGGAGCTCCGCCGAGGAACCCCGCGTTGTAACCGATTTGTCACTCCTCTCCTCTCCCATAAGATCCTTGACCATCCCCTTCTTAATGTCACCCATCCAGCGTCTCAAACCAATCCAACGCCTTAAATCTATAACAAGTCACCTCCAACAAACCTCCAAAATGAAACTCCTCTACCCAACCTCCCTCTACATTGACGCGAAGTCCCTAGAAGGCTTCTCCGTCGAATTGCATCCCTACGACGTCACAGTCCCAATTCCCGAATCCCTAATCGACGCCGAGTTCCTAGTAACATGGGCCAACAAAGCCACGAACCTCCGCGACGCAGCCTCCCGCATGAAGAACCTCCGCTGGATCCAGTCGCTAGCAGCCGGACCAAACGACGTCCTCGGTGCGGGCTTCGACGCCTCCCGAATCGCTATCACAACCGGCTCCGGCCTGCATGACGAGACAGTCGCCGAACACACCCTCGGCCTGCTACTTAATGCTGTCCGCCGCTTCTATGAAATGCGCGACTACCAGAACCGCGGCGAGTGGCCCGCCCACCTGGGCGGCCCCCAGCCCGATCGCGCCCCCGGCACGTTCCGCACCCTCAAGGGTGCTAATATTACCATCTGGGGATTCGGAAATATCGCCAAGTCTCTCTCGCCCGTGCTGACCGCGCTCGGGGCTAATGTCACCGGTGTTGCGCGGAGTACTGGTGTGCGGAATGGGTTCGAGGTTGTTGCGGAGGATCGCTTGCAGGAGATTCTCCCCAAGACTGATGCGCTTGTTATGATTCTGCCTGGATCGGCGAGTACCAATGGTGCGCTTAATGCTGAGCGCTTGGCTTTGCTGCCGAGTCATGCTTGGGTTGTTAATGTTGGCCGGGGAACTTCCGTTGATGAGGATGCGCTGCTTGCGGCGCTTGAAAAGGGCAGCATTGGCGGCGCGGCGCTGGATGTTTTCTCCGTTGAGCCGCTCCCGAAGGAGTCTAAGCTTTATGCCGCGCCTAATCTTATTCTTTCGCCTCATGCTGCCGGTGGACGTCCGCGTGGGGCTGAGGCGCTTATTGCGTTTAACCTGAGACGGCAGCTTGCTGGGCAGGAGCTGAAGAATATTATTTGAGCTTGATGTGGAGATGGCTGTGGAGGTTTCTTGATAGATTTTATGAGTACATTTACGAAGAGGGTTAGACGCCATGCTTTGCGTTGGTCTTGTTTTGATTACAAGGAACTCTAGAAAGACAATTACAGCCGAATTACACAATCATTTGAGAACTCAGAACATAAGTGTGATCAAAATTAATTTGATATAAACAAAGAGGGAAGACTATATACAATTTACTATATACAACAAAGCACACCAAAAGACCCTATTTTTCAAAACACCGTATCGTAAATGCCATCACTGTGTCACCTCTCAGATGCGGGGTTTACTGGGGGCACAGCATGAAGAAGGGAACGCATTCTTCGACTGGGTATCAACACAAATAGCAGAAGGAGGCACCCAGAGGGCAGGGTTCTTCTCGAAGAAGTTTGACGCACGCAGCATAATGCTAACCGGCTCAGCAGGCATGATGGGGAAATCCTCAGTTCGCGGGAAATGCGTCAGACCGAACTGCAGGTAGCAGACGATATCGGTGTTCTCGATGTTCTCGTCGCGCTTCGCCCAGTCGGCGATGGTCGAGTTGAAGGGGTGTCCCTCGGAGCCGTCAGACTGGCAGACGTAGTCACCAGCGGGGAAGAGCTCGTAGTCCTTGTAAGGAGTAACCCAGAGGGGCTTGCGGGCGAAGGCGGCACGCTTCCAGACGGTGCTGCCGGGCTTGGCGAGCATAGGGGGGCAGTTGTTGTTGAGGATCTTGTAAGCAACGGGCTTTTTCGCAATGGCATGAATGCGGTTCGGGTTAATGATGTCCCATGATCGGTTGGTCTCGTAGCAGTAGTCTGCGGCACCCTCGAGGGATGTGCGGAGGGGAGTCTTCTTGCTGTAGAATCCGTTACCGTAGGGGTTCTCTGGGGAGCCGACGGCGGCTTCGGCGGAGACGGCGTCGTTCTGGACGACGGAGTTGTTTTGGCCGTCAATTTCGGGGTCGATGCGGAGGGAGAACAAGTGCTGGTGGTTGTGGGCGTTGATGGAGGGGGCAACTTCTGTGCCGAAGGGAGCGGCGGTTTCGGTCGGGTGCATGCAGTAGGTGTTCAGCATACCGGTGAGCTTAATCTCCAGCTTGTAGGTACCATCCAGGGTGAAGATGTGGTAGAAGCCGTATTCGTAGTTGGCAGCGGTGATGATTTGGGACACGATGAGCTTGCGGTCACGAGCGGAGATCACTGTGCCATCACGGTAGTCGGTGTGCTTGTAGAGGAGGCCGTTGTCTTCCTCGTGAATGCAGATAGCGTTCTTGACAACGGCGGCCTCACCCTTGGAAGTGGACATGATACCATCCATGTAGTGGATGACACCCTTGCAATCACAACCCAGCTTTAGGGAGTTGGTCATCAGGCCAGTGCCGTACTCGCCGACATCGAATGCATGCTTCTTGTGGTGGGGCTTCTCGGGGCAGCCGTAGGGGACAACCATCTCAACGACGGAGATACGGTTGAAGAGAGTACGCTCGCGGTCCTCGTACATGTCGTGGGTGCGCACGTCGGAAATGACAATACCTTCACGGTAGTTGAAGCCAATGTGCATCTTGAAGTTGGCCCAGGACAGCTCATTGCCGCGGACCTTGAAAGAGACACCCTCGGGCTGGGAGATATCGATGGGCTTGAGGCGATCGTGGTTGTACTTGTCGCTGATATATTCGGGGAGGTAGTTGTGCTCCTTGAGAGGGGCAGCGGTCCGCTCGCCGTTGACGTAACGAATGTCAACGCTGAGAACCTCCTCGGTGTCGGTGTCGGCGACAACGCTGAAATCCAGAGGGTGGGCATATTGGTTATCGAACTCGGCGTTGCGGTAGTAAGCCAGACCCTGCTGGAGGCGGTGGTCGTATCCCCAGCGCTCGTCGATGCCGATAGCCCATGCGTCAAAGAAGACCTTGCTCATGTCGGTAATTCCAATGTCATTGCAGGCCCGGATAACGCGAGCGTCCTTGCGAGCAACACGCTCCATCACATCAAGATCCTCTAGGGTGAGGGTAGGCATGACATCGTGAACGTCCTTCCATTCCTCAACCTTGCCGGTGGCGAGATTTGCCACCACCTCTGCGATCGTGTTGGTTTCGGGGACAAAGACAATGGCGAAGGCACGACGGGCAGGAGCGGGGACGGCGCCAGCGCGGAATGCCCGGTATTCTGCTTTGATAGGTTCACGGAGTGTGATGCAGTTGAACTTGACAAACTTGGGGTTGGCGTATTCCCGGATGATCTTTGCCGCTTCGGGAATTTCCTTGATAGACAGTTGATCTAGGGTTTTGAGTTAGCGGAGCTCTCGGATTTTACACAGAGGACATAGCATACCTAACGGATGAGGAGTGCCTTTTGGCAGCATGGCAGCGGCGGCAACACTTTCATAATCCCCGTCGCGGAAGATTGTGTAGCCAGGAATTGACTCGGTATCAGGAGCAGACGCCATGATGAAGATGTGAAAGGGGTATCAAGGGGAAGGAGAGAGTTGTAATTGTAGAAAAACCAGAAGTTCCATTCCAAAGCTGCGATAGACCTTATATAGCTAATCGACCTTGAACGTCTGATCGAATTTCGCCGCATGTACCTTCCTAATCGGGCAATCAAGAAATATATCTATAACCTAAGCAGCTCCGACAAAGGGAGCGAATGGTCCCGAGAGTGGGTACTCTGGCCGTTGCTCAATTTGGGTTAAAGTCTGGAGAAGATGTGTCTTTGCACAGCATGTGTCCGAGACTTTAATTCTATGCCATAATATGCTTTGCGTAAAGTGTTTGCCATCGAAATTATCAGCCAATCGCAATGCAACGGCTCGGAGCGATGTGTTGGCCACAGCCTTTCGCTAGTGGTTGACCTAATAAAGCAAGTCTTCTGAGAAAGACTGTGCATGGGCACTAGAGGAAAAACCTAGCCCAATTTGACAATATCTGATCTCTTAGACGAATTAGGGGAGCATGCGACTGGCAGGGTTGGTGATGCCAAGGCGTTAAATCAAGCTTATTTTCACGTGGTCTTGATGACATAATGTAAGCCGCATCCCTAGCCTGGGGCAGCCCATCAAAGCCGTTCTATCACACATGACCCCCCCTGTTTTACTGTGTCGTAGAAATGATCAATATCCCCATTACATATGGAAACGGACGAGCAACTCGTTGACCATATCTTTAACCTAAACACATGAGACAGCCTTTGGGTGGACTTGCCTGTTTTGGGTTAGCGGCTCTTGCTATCAGTGACTGGGGACTCGTCAATCCACGTCTATCCACATCAAGAAACACCCCACTCCCCACCGTTTTGAACCTCAGAAATCTGGAGCTCGGCCTTTTTTTAGGTGGAGTCGATAAATGTATCCCGATAAGCTACCCAGAATGGCATGTCCATGCGAAGCAATTGTCGCAAATTACATAGAGCTTGAAGAAATAGTTACAAATTCATCTCCTCTAGCTTCACTGTCTTCTCCAAACAACATCGCGAAGTACATATAATCATGGCCGACTTATCTGTTCAGCTCACAGCCCCCAACGGCCACACTTGGATCCAGCCCACCGGCTTGTTCATTAACAACCAGTGGGTCAAGTCTTCGAATGGCGAGAAGATTGCTAGCATTAATCCCACGTGCGTGAGAAATTAAAAACTAAGTGTCCATGTCTTAATTCCCTAACTGACTGGCGATCGAACAGAACCGCAAAGGAAATCACATCAATCCACGCAGCTTCCGCCGAAGATGTCGACAAGGCCGTCAAGGCAGCGCGCGCCGCTCTGAATAACCCCTGTTGGCGCGACCTACCCGGTTCTGATCGTGGCAAGCTGATGAGCCGCCTGGCGCAGCTTATCGAGGATAATCGCACTACGCTCGCCACTATTGAGACAATCGACAATGGAAAGCCGTATTCCACTTCGTTCAATGACGACCTGAACGAGACCGCCGAGACCCTTCGTTACTATGCAGGATACGCCGACAAGGTCTTTGGTCAAGTTATCGATACAACACCGGATAAGTTCGCCTACACCGTACGGGAGCCCGTTGGTGTCTGTGGCCAAATTATCCCGTAAGTTCTGAGATCAGTCATCAAACACCATCGAAGTCAATTGCTAACTATGGCGCTAAAGATGGAACTTCCCTCTCGCCATGGCCGCCTGGAAGCTCGGCCCGGCCCTCGCCTGCGGAAACACAGTCATTCTGAAGCCAGCGGAGCAAACCCCTCTCTCAGTCCTCTTCCTTGCCAACCTGATCGTGGAAGCAGGCTTCCCTCCCGGTGTGGTGAACATTGTTAACGGACTTGGCGCCGTCACCGGAGCCGCACTCGCCTCGCACATGGACGTGGACAAGATCGCCTTCACAGGCAGCACGGCGACAGCTAAGCAAATTATGAAGATGGCCAGCGGGAACTTGAAGAATATCACCCTAGAGACGGGTGGTAAGAGCCCGCTGATTGTTTTCAACGATGCGGATCTCGAGCAGGCGGTTGAATGGGCCCATCTCGGCATCATGTATAACCAGGGCCAGATCTGCACAGCCACATCCCGCATTCTGGTACAGAACGAAATCTACGACCGCTTCTTGGATGCATTTAAGGCGCAGGTGAAGACTGTCTCCAAGGTCGGTGATCCGTTCGAGGAGTCCACCTTCCAGGGCCCGCAGGTGACGCAGGCTCAGTATGACCGCATTATGTCTTATGTTGAGGTTGGCAAGTCCGAGAAGGCCACCCTAGTCACTGGTGGTAAGCCTTTCACTGTTGGTGATGGTAAAGGTTTCTTCATTGAGCCTACTGTTTTCGCCGATGTTACGCCCGAGATGCGTATCTACCAAGAGGAGGTCTTTGGACCTTTCGTGGTGATTTCCCGATTCAGCGAAGAGAAGGATGCGATTGAGATGGCCAATGATTCTATTTATGGTCTTGGAAGTGCTCTGTTCACGACAAACTTGACTCGCGCGCATCGCGTGGCTAAAAGGATTGAGGCTGGTATGGTCTGGATTAACTCTAGCAATGACAGTGATTGGCG